TTAGTGAAGAGACTTGTAACAGAGGGTACAGTGAGGGAAAAAAGTATTTGATCCCCTGCTGATGTTGTACGTTTGCCCACTGACAAAGAAATGATCAGTCTATAATTTTAATGGTAGGTTTATTTGAACAGTGAGAGACAGAATAACAACAACAAAAATCCAGAAAAACGCATGTCAAAAATGTTATAAACTGATTTGCATTTTAATGAGGGAAATAAGTATTTGACCCCCTCTCAATCAGAAAGATTTCTGGCTCCCAGGTGTCTTTTATACAGGTAACGAGCTGAGATTAGGAGCACATTCTTAAAGGGAGTGCTCCTAATCTCAGTTTGTTACCTGTATAAAAGACACCTGTCCACAGAAGCAATCAATCAATCAGATTCCAAACTCTCCACCATGGCCAAGACCAAAGAGCTCTCCAAGGATGTCTGGGACAAGATTGTAGACCTACACAAGGCTGGAATGGGCTACAAGACCATCGTCAAGCAGCTTGGTGAGAAGGTGACAACAGTTGGTGCGATTATTCACAAATGGAAGAAACACAAAATAACTGTCAATCTCCCTCGGCCTGGGGCTCCATGCAAGATCTCACCTCGTGGAGTTGCAATGATCATGAGAACGGTGAGGAATCAGCCCAGAACTACACGGGAGGATCTTGTCAATGATCTCAAGGCAGCTGGGACCATAGTCACCAAGAAAACAATTGCTAACACACTACGCCGTGAAGGACTGAAATCCTGCAGTGGTCCCCCTGCTCAAGAAAGCACATATACAGGCCTGTCTGAAGTTTGCCAATGAACATCTGAATGATTCAGAGGAGGACTGGGTGAAAGTGTAGTGGTCAGATGAGACCAAAAGGGAGCTCTTTGGCATCAACTCAACTCGCCGTGTTTGGAGGAGGAGGAATGCTGCATATGACCCCAAGAACACCATCCCCACCGTCAAACATGGAGGTGGAAACATTATGCTTTGGGGGTGTCTTTCTGCTAAGGGGACAGGACAACTTCACCGCATCAAAGGGACGATGGACGGGGCCATGTACCGTCAAATCTTGGGTGAGAACCTCCTTCCCCTGCCAGGGCATTGAAAATGGGTCGTGGATGGGTATTCCAGCATAACAATGACCCAAAACACACGGCCAAGGCAACAAAAGAGTGGCTCAAGAAGAAGCACATTAAGGTCCTGGAGTGGCCTAGCCAGTCTCCAGACCTTAATCCCATAGAAAATCTGTGGAGGGAGCTGAAGGTTCGAGTTGCCAAACGTCAGCCTCGAAACCTTAATGACTTGGAGAAGATCTGCAAAGAGGAGTGGGACAAAATCCCTCCTGAGATGTGTGCAAACCTGGTGGCCAACTACAAGAAACGTCTGACCTCTGTGATTGCCAACAAGGGTTTTGCCACCAAGTACTAAGTCATGTTTTACAGAGGGGTCAAATACTTATTTCCCTCATTAAAATGCAAATCAATTCATAACATTTTTGACATGTGTTTTTCAGGATTTTTTGTTTGTTATTCTGTCTCTCACTGTTCAAATAAACCTACCATTAAAATTATACACTGATCATGTCTTTGTCAGTGGGCAAACGTACAAAATCAGCAGGGGATCAAATACTATTTTCCCTCACTGTATATATAGAGAGTGGATCTTTTTTCTGGAGTTGGAAGATGGCAGAGGCAGGGCTATGTCCTTATTGTTATAACTAACCAGGGTACCATATTAAATATCTTATATGAACTCCCCATCAAAAGTGTCTAAGTACATCCTTAAATTCGTAATCACTTGATACCCTAGAAACTCATCATAACAGATGGTGTGGGGGAGCTTTGCTGGTGACACGGTCTGTGATTTATTTAGGATTCAAGGCACACTTAACCAGCATGGCTACCACAGCATTCTGCAGCGATATGCCCTCCCATCTGGTTTGCGCTTAGTGTGACTATCATTTGTTTTTCAACAGGACAATGACCCAACACACCTCCATGTTTTGTAAGGGGTATTTGACCAAGAAGGAGAGTGATGGCGTGCTGCATCAGATGACCTGGCCTCCACAATCACCCGACCTCAACCCAGCTGAGATGGTTTGGGATGAGTTGGACCGCAGAGTGAAGGAAAAGCAGCCAACAAGTGCTCAGCAAATGTGGGAACTCCTTCAAGACTGTTGGAAAAACATTCCAGGTGAAGCTGGTTGAGAGAATGCCAAGAGTGTGCAAAGCTGTCATCAAGGCAAAGGGTGGCTACTTTGAAAAATCTAAAATATATTTTGATTTGTTTAACACTTTTTTGGTTACTACATGATTCCATATGTGTTATTTCATAGTTTTGATGTCTTCACTATTATTCTACAATGTAGAAAATTGAAAATAAAGAAAAACCCTTGAAATAGTAGGTGTGTCCAAACTTTTGACTGGTACTGTAATAAGTAAATGAGATATTTCTGTATTTCATTTTCAATAAATGTGCACAAATTTCTAAAAACACGTTTTCACTTTGTCATTATGGGGTATTGTGTGTAGATGGGTGAATTCAGGCTGTAACACAACAAAATGTGCAATAAGTCAAGGGGTATGAGTACTTTCTGAAGGAACTGCATGTCCAGTTGTAAGGACATTCTTACATGGTTTGTATCAGCGTGCACAAGACATTCCTTCAATGTTCTTAGAATTGTATTTATATGTTCCCAGTTTTGAACAGTCCATGGAGGTTTCTTTCATGTGTTTTACATTGACATTTTAGTCATTTAGCAGACGCTCTTATCCAGAGCGACTTACAGTTAGTGAGTGCATACATTTTCATACTGGCCCCCCGTGGGAAACGAACCCACAATCCTGGCGTTGCAAGCGCCATGCTCTACCCACTAAGCTACAGGGGACATCTTACTGTTGAGGAATTTGGTTGTACAACAATCCATGTAGAAACACATTATATGGCAATTATTTGTAATCACATTAAAATGTATTAGACAAACATAGTTGTAACGTACAGGGATCTAACCAGCTTTAAAAAGTTATCCCTGCGATTAATCCACTGCACCACTGAGATGGGACTAACACAGATACACATCTGTTCACAATTTTTAAATGACTTCCAGTTTGTGGTCTTTGTCTTTGCAAAGAGAGGATAACTAAATCTAGTATATTACTCTTTATATACAGTGAGGGAAAAAAGTATTTGATCCCCTGCTGATTTTGTACGTTTGCCCACTGACAAAGACATGATCAGTCTATAATTTTAATGGTAGGTTTATTTGAACAGTGAGAGACAGAATAACAACAAAAAAATCCAGAAAAACGCATGTCAAAAATGTTATGAATTGATTTGCATTTTAATGAGGGAAATAAGTATTTGACCCCTCTGCAAAACATGACTTAGTACTTGGTGGCAAAACCCTTGTTGGCAATCACAGAGGTCAGACGTTTCTTGTAGTTGGCCACCAGGTTTGCACACATCTCAGGAGGGATTTTGTCCCACTCCTCTTTGCAGATCTTCTCCAAGTCATTAAGATTTCGAGGCTGACGTTTGGCAACTCGAACCTTCAGCTCCCTCCACAGATTTTCTATGGGATTAAGGTCTGGAGACTGGCTAGGCCACTCCAGGACCTTAATGTGCTTCTTCTTGAGCCACTCCTTTGTTGCCTTGGCCGTGTGTTTTGGGTCATTGTTATTCTGGAATAACCATCCACGACCCATTTTCAATGCCCTGGCTGAGGGAAGGAGGTTCTCACCCAAGATTTGACGGTACATGGCCCCGTCCATCGTCCCTTTGATGCAGTGAAGTTGTCCTGTCCCCTTAGCAGAAAAACACCCCCAAAGCATAATGTTTCCACCTCCATGTTTGACGGTGGGGATGGTGTTCTTGGGGTCATAGGCAGCATTCCTCCTCCTCCAAACACGGCGAGTTGAGTTGATGCCAAAGAGCTCGATTTTGGTCTCATCTGACCACAACACTTTCACCCAGTTCTCCTCTGAATCATTCAGATGTTCATTGGCAAACTTCAGACGGCCCTGTATATGTGCTTTCTTGAGCAGGGGGACCTTGCGGGCGCTGCAGGATTTCAGTCCTTCACGGCGTAGTGTGTTACCAATTGTTTTCTTGGTGACTATGGTCCCAGTTGCCTTGAGATCATTGACAAGATCCTCCCGTGTAGTTCTGGGCTGATTCCTCACCGTTCTCATGATCATTGCAACTCTACGAGGTGAGATCTTGCATGGAGCCCCAGGCCGAGGGAGATTGACAGTTCTTTTGTGTTTCTTCCATTTGCGAATAATCGCACCAACTGTTGTCACCTTCTCACCAAGCTGCTTGGCGATGGTCTTGTAGCCCATTCCAGCCTTGTGTAGGTCTACTATCTTGTCCCTGACATCCTTGGAGAGCTCTTTGGTCTTGGCCATGGTGGAGAGTTTGGAATCTGATTGATTGATTGCTTCTGTGGACAGGTGTCTTTTATACAGGTAACAAACTGAGATTAGGAGCACTCCCTTTAAGAGTGTGCTCCTAATCTCAGCTCGTTACTTGTATAAAAGACACCTGGGAGCCAGAAATCTTTCTGATTGAGAGGGGGTCAAATACTTATTTCCCTCATTAAAATCCAAATCAATTCATAACATTTTTGACATGCGTTTTTCTGGATTTTGTTGTTGTTATTCTGTCGCTCACTGTTCAATTAAACCTTCCATTAAAATGATAGACTGATCATTTCTTTGTCAGTGGGCAAACGTACAAAATCAGCAGGGGATCAAATACTTTTTCCCTCACTGTACTGCAAATTTGGGATGTTTTGACTTTTATTTTCCCTTGATTTCAGAAATCATATGTTAAATTATTGCTTGGCAGTTTCAGTGAGGTGTACATAGATGTACTAAGACATATAGCCATAGTTTCAACAATAATTTGTGAACCTCCCCGGTTATTGGTAATGGTGAGAGTTTAGCTTGTCTTGGGGATATGATCTTTGACCCCCTTTTTCACACATCATTATTCACGATTCATTCAGGATTATCCGCAATCATGGTAGCATCCACATTAATGTAGAAGTGTTTAGAAACATATTCGAAATAATCTTAAACACAACCAAAACGAACTGCAAATGCATCCAACAAGTTTGTAGTCACAAGCTTGATGTAGTCATTGCGTGCTAGGAATATGAGACCAAATACTAAACTTTTGACTATTTTACTTATAAGAATCTTTAGGGGTGTCAATAATTTTTAACCCTACCTGTTTGAGAAAACAATTCTTACTTGTTAAACAAAATCATATAATTTCCCTTTATTTATTTATTTTATACAGTCATTACTGCTAATCTTCATCAAGGGAGTCAATAATGCTTATTATGCCATTGCATAGAGTGCAGCGTGTCCCCATTTGAAATCTACCAATTAAAACATGATAATATTGCTTTATGTATTCACACTACACATTCAAAGCATCTCCCTGTACCCTATCACACACACAGTAAAAAGAACAGATACCCTAAACTTTTTTGCAGCAATTCCACAGAAGCAGGTGGCAAGAGTAGTTTTACAAGACCTTACAAGCATCAGTCAATTAGCACTCAGGGAGCTACAATTACTGACTGGAACTAGGCCTGGGGTTGGGGCTGGGAAGACGGGGGCGAGGGTAGTGGCCGGGGGTTAGAGGGGAGTAGCAGTGTCTAGGGTCAGGGCTGTCGCTTGGGCTGTATGTGAGGCTGTGGCTGAGGAGGCTAGCAGGGCAGTAGCCAGTCCCCCTAGATGTGGAGCCCTCCTGTGGTCTGAGGTTGGGGTCTGGGACAGAGCTAGTGGTTCCAGTCTCTTCCCCGCCTCTCCCTCCAGGTCCCTAGTAGCGTCCAGCAGCACTTTGACACTCTGAGCGAAGACAGCTCTGGGGTCTGTAGCAGGGAGGGCAGGACAGGAACAACTCTCCCTCAACTCCAGGTACTGGGGAGAGGAAGAGAGAGAGAGAGGTTATAGCGGAAACACACCAGAAAGACGAACGTATGAAAGCAGCGTGTGGCCGTGGTGCGTTATCCCTCTAGAGTCGATTGACGCACCGGTGCGTCAATCTAAGTAACGTAATTTTAAAAATCCCCATCAAAATGTGTCAGTTTAAGATAGAGATTTGTGTTTTTGCAGTGGATGCGTCTCAATCCACCGCATCCGCCGATGTCGCATTTCCACATCTGCGGTGAAAGGTAGCAGAGTTAGAGCAGTGTTTGTCAGACCATGAGATATCCCGAAAATCGGTCTTCTCACAAAAATGTCTGTAGATTCCTAACGGTTTGACCTACAAAACGATTGACCACTGTATGGAATGGGGAGACTCTCACGAACACAATGGTGGTCTCTACGACCACCACAAGTGTCAGGGGACTCGTCTGAAGTCGGTACAGTCGATGTACCAACTTCTGTTTGTAGCGTCTGAACCGTTTGGGCTACAAACTACTGTGACCCCACTGTGTTCTCCGTTTTGCTCTACGACCCTCACAAGTTTCACAGGACTCGTCTGAAGGTAACTGGTACCGGTTAGAAAAAATTTATAGAAGTATGAAAGTAGTTTTGTGCCTACCCAAAAAAGGGGTTAAATATGTGTAAAAATATATATACATATATTTTCTGAGCTTTATCATATCTCCTAGATATAGGACTAACACTTCAAAACCTTGTTTCTGATTATTTCTTTTTTTACTATTTTTTTGTCATTTATGAATATGTTATTCAATGAGTTTCTCTGGGCTATAGAAGTAAAGGCCAAATTCCATATTATCCCAAAGAAAATTATATATATATTTAAATAAACGATCCATAGTATGACCATCTTAAAACAATTACATAATCATCTTAGATTCCCCCCCCCCTCCAACGGCTTAGACTTCTAAGAATGATTGTGTTGTCAGAGGCGATAGTACGACCACAAGATGCTTTTAAGTACCTTCGGTCGTCCATTACTCGGGTGTGTTTTCTCTCATACACACACGGTGGAACTATACGGATCCAGATCACTACTTCTACAAAGGTCAATGTCCCAGTCTGGGATTCAACATGAGGGCTCAGCAGTGTGCCAATTGTGTGTGTGTGTGTGTGTGTGTGTGTGTGTGCGTGCATGTAGCCCTGTGTGACACACAGGAGTGTATTTACCCTTGAGTGTGTGTTTTAGCAGGAGAGGAACAGATGGAGAAAACACTAATTGTCCATCAGACGAGAGTTTGTGTGTGCTATTGTGCCTGTGAGTATATATGGGTGTCTGGTGTGCATACATATGTGACAGTGTACTGTGTGTGTGTTGTGTTGTGTTTGTATGTACATTACATGACCAAAAGTATGTGGACACCTGCTCGTCGAAAATGTCATTCCAAAATCATGGGCATTAATATGGAGTTGGTCCCCCCTTTGCTGCCATAACAGCCTCAACTCTTCTGGGAAGGCTTTCCACTAGATGTTGGAACATTGCTGCGGGGACTTGCTTCCATTCAGCCACAAGAGCATTAGTGAGGTCGGGCACTGATGTAGGGAGATTAGGCTTGGCTCGCAGTCGGCGTTCAAATTCATCCCAAAGGTGTTCGTTGGGGTTGAGGTCAGGGCTCTGTGCAAGCCAGTCAAGTTCTTCCACAAAGATCTCGACAAACCATTTCTGTATGGACCTCGCTTTGTGCACGGGGGCATTGTCATGCAGAAACAGTAAAGTGCCTTCCCCAAATCGTTGCCACAAAGTTGGAAGCACAGAATCGTCTAGAATGCCATTGTATGCTGTAGTGTTAAGATCTCCCTTCACTGGAACTAAGGGGCCTAACCCGAACCATGAAAAATGGCCTCAGACCATGATTCCTCCTCCACCAAACTTTACAGTTGGCACTAGGCAGTTGGGCAGGTAGCGTTCTCCTGGCATCCGCCAAACCCAGATGGTGAAGCGTGATTCATCACTCCAGAGAACGCGTTTCCACTGCTACAGAGTCCAATGGCAGCAAGCTTTACACCACTCTTAGGGCCACGCACATGTAGGTCGACCATGTCGACGTGGGTTCGATTCCGTCCCACGTCCTTATGGCACAAATAACTCAATCCGCCTGATTGACTTGATGTACTTACACATTTCAAATATGGGCAGTTCAAGGATATTTTACCCCAGATGTTGATAAGAAATGACCATACCACACTTTTGGATAACATAAATAGGAAACAAATAAAATAATAACAGTAGGCTACACCAACATTAGTTTCCATTCATACAAAGTGTCGGGTAAATTGCCACAGTAGATTTGTCGTGGTAAACAATCAAATACTTTATTTATATTGTACGGAATGCTTGTCAAATAGATAAATCGCCCTTAGCTTGTTCGAAAAAGGACTAAGTGGTTCCGATGATAAGACCAACCGGAGGGCAAAAATATCTTGAAAGGGTTGCAAGCAGGACTAAGGTAACGCCGACATCATCTTTTAGGGAGCGGTAATGAGGAGACCAATAATGGTTGCAATTGAGATCAGCTGTGCAGGTGAATTCAGCACGTATTGATGGTTTAATGAGACATCAGCTGGCGATAATCTAGTGCCATCGATGGTTGCAATAGGCCTCTTGTTATTTGATTATATTCCAATAGGCTACATTCTGTAGACTACCCGTTAGCCTATCCATTGTCAGATAATGAAAGGTGTGAAAACCGATAATAGGCACCCGTGTTTCCCTGGCTGAGTTGAACTGATTTGGGTCATCAGTTGATTGACAGATGTAGGCCTACTGTAGAACGATAAACTTTCCTCCAGTGTGGATGCTTGTCCACGTTTTATAGACTATGTATAATTTGTCAATATATACTGTACAAAAATATAAACGCAACATGTAAATGTTGTGTTGGTCCCATGTTTCATGAGCTGAAAGAAAATATCCCAGAAATGTTCCATACACACAAAACTTATTTCTGTATTTTGTGCACAAATTTGTTTACATCCCTGTTAGTGAGCATTTCTCCTTTGCCAAGATAATCCATCCACCTGACAAGTGTGGTATATCAAGAAGCTGATTAAACAGCATGATCATACAGGTACACCTTGTGCTGGGGACAATAAAAGGCCACTCTAAAATGTGCAGTTTTGTCACACAACACAATGCCAGAGATGTCTCAAGTTTTGAGGGAGCGTGCAATTGGCATGCTGACTGCAGGAATGTCCACCAGAGATGTTGCCAGAGAATTGAATGTTCATTTCTCTACCATGCCGCCTCCAACGTCGTTTTAGAGAATTTGGCAGTAAGTCCAACAGACCACGTGTAACCACGCCAGCCCAGGTCCTCCACATCCGGCTTCTTCACCTGCGGGATCGTCTGAGACCAGTCACCCAGACAGCTGATAAAACTGAGGAGTATTTCTGTCCGTAATAAAGCTTTTTTGTGGGGAAAAACTAATTCTGATTGGCTGGGCCTTACTCCCCAGTAGGTGGGTCAGTCTCCTAAGTGGGTGGGCCATGCCCTCCCAGGCCCACCCATGGCTGCGCCCCTGCCCAGTCATGTGAATTCCAGAGATTAGGGCCTAATGCATTTATTTCAATTGACTGATTTCCTTATATGAATTGTAACTCAGTAAAATCGTAGAAATTGTTGCATGTTGCGTTTATATTTTTGTTCAGTATAGTTCTGGTCTTCGGTATGGATTGAAAGCCTGTATTATGTGGCTTTAATATTTCATTTCGTAAAGCTGTCAAGATGTTTATGCAGCCTATCCAAAGACGATTTTGTTGAGCGAAGACACCTTTCTTTGAAATGTAAATGCCAACTTTTCGTTGTACTTCTTGAAAACATTGAAATAAATGCAATTAACTTGTGGGACTAATGCAGGTTCAGACTGGTCACTATATCTCCCAGCTCATGAGGCTCGGAGTTGGACCGCGATACTTAGACCACTGCGCTACAGCACTTCACAATGCTCTAGTAAGCACTAAGAATACTAATGATACATAGGCTCGTCGTTTTTAAATATTTTGTTTTAAGCCTTCCCCAAATTATAGTCCTAACTTTAACCACTCGGAATTAATGCCTAAACTGTTAACCTTTGAGTTGTTTCTCTCTTAACCCTGTAACGACGCGGAATTAACACTGTAACCACATGGAATTAATGCGTCAAAAATAGATCTTCATCCATGAGTCAAAGGGCAGTGGGCAGGATTTGAACCCATGCAGACTCTGGCATATGTGTCCCAGGGTCAGTCTAAATATTTCTTCTGATATTAAAATCCTCTTGCTGCAGGATTATTTTCCTCCTGCGATGAATGGGGTCAAATTAGGTTCCGACATCTGTAGGTGTCTCGTTAGTTAGATTAAACTCTGCTCAATCCTACAGTTCTGTTCGAGTACTCCTCTTTCTGTTCGAGTACTCCTCTTTGACCACAGTCCTCAGGCCATGTGATATGCGTCTGTACATTAGAAACACCAGGAAGTCATGTGTACTATTCTAACTCACATGCACACATTTAAGTCTGCCTGCTGTGCGAGACTAGGTATAGCAGACTTCTCTGTCTTGTGCATACCACCAACACACAGCCATCATGAATGACTTGATGACAAGACTTATCACTGACATCATACAATAGACCATTGGCAACAGTGTATACTGGTGTATGTGGACCAGTGAGGTTTTTTCTCTGCCTCTCTAAGCGTTGCGTGCTTGCTTGCTACCTGTGGGACCAGCCTGTCCAGCTGTGTAACTCTGTTCTTGTGAGAAGGGTGTGTGGAGAGCCACTCTGGTACTGTAGGTTCTCCTCTCAGCTGGTCACTGATCTCCATCTGCTGCCAGAACACTGGCCCTGCCCGCACATCAGCACACGCCTAGAGGGAGAGGCACAGACAGGGTTACCCTGAGCGCCTGTCTGGTTGTCATGGAAACGGTGACAATACATTACTACAGCGTCCTGAACAGGTTGACGGATAGAGGAGTGGGAGAAATTCTCTATTTGACAAAGATTGCCATCTAGTGCACTGTAGGCAGCTGTAAGTTTAGTCACCATATACAGAAGGGTCAGGATGCAAGAGTGAGCCAGAGTTACTGTCCTATCCTGTACCTTGGCAGCCAGCTGGAGTCCAACTTGATCAGCTTCTGCCTCCAACTTCCTGCTATAGGGACGATCAAACATGAACTGACAGAGAGACACACACAGAGAGAGAGAGAGAGAGCGAGAGAGAGAGAGAGAGCGAGAGAGAGAGAGACAGAGACAGAGAGAGACCCAGAGAGAGAGAGACAGAGACAGAGAGAGAGACCCAGATAGAGAGAGACAGAGACACAGAGAGAGAGAGACAAAGAGAGAGAGAGAGAGAGAGAGAGTTAAACATCTATTTAATCACATGAAAAGTCCTGATGTGTGTGTGTTACCTGTATGAGTTTAGTCTGTATCCACTGTCCCAGTACGGCCAGGCTGTCTCGAGGACACACAGCCCAGATGGCTGTTAGCAGGATCAGAGACAGGAAGTCAACCACATGAGACATACTGGCCTGCTCTGCCTGGAGGGAGGAAGGGAGGGAAGGAGCGAAAAGAGAGGGGAAAAAGAGAGAGAGGGGGGTAGGGAGGGAGGGGAGAGAGAAAGTGAGTAGAAAAGCAATAAATAAATTATCTGTAAGTGTATTGATTGTTCCCACCTATTTCATCTGAACTTTTAATTCAGACCTAATATGGAGATTACATTAGGAAACGGTGAATGGAGTAGCAGACACCCAGGGCGAGGATGGAACTGATTAATCCATATTACTTTTCTTCATCTAATTAAACTCTTCCCTGTATTGGAGGGTATACAGTTCTCATAGGAAATGATCAGAAACAAACTCCAAACATTTCTCTCTGAGCAAGAGGAATATCCGATTAGAACAGTCAGCAGTTCTGATTTAATTGAAAAGGGATGAGACTCTCTACTTAAACAGCTGTACCATTAGTCCAGAAACAACATTAGTGTCTCAGACTTCTAAAGTACTCTCTGTCTGCCTGTCTGTCTGTGAGCATCTTATAACTATGACTGATGACACAACCCCACCGCATTAATGACATCCTCTCTGCAGACCTGCAGCAAATCTGAGTTCTGAGCTGTAGGTCAGGTGAGGTGATGTGGATGAAAGAGAGGAAAGGAGAGCAGTAGTAATGTAGCATTACTGAGACTGATGAGTCACTCTGCACAGAACAGGACACAACTCTGTGTAGCCCCTAAGCAAGCAAGGAAGCGCGCACACTCAAACACAGTCTTGTATAACTAACCGTGTGGGGCACACAATTCAGTCCCATTCAAAATCCTATTTCCCCTAACCCTAATTCTATCCCTTCTGGTCCCCATAAGTATAGTTAAACACGTACACTCACACTCACTCACTCACACACACACACACACACACACACACACACACACGTGGAGAAATAACTCAGAGCAGAGAGTCAGAACTCACACACTCATACTAAAGAGAGACAGACAGAAAGGCTTGGGTGTATACTCAGTGTCCCATCACTAGAGAGAGACACAGAAAGGCTTGGGTGTATACTCAGTGTCCCATCACTAGAGAGAGACACAGAAAGGCTTGGGTGTATACTCAGTGTCCCATCACTAGAGAGAGACACAGAAAGGCTTGGGTGTATACTCAGTGTCCCATCACTAGAGAGAGACACAGAAAGGCTTGGGTGTATACTCAGTGTCCCATCACTAGAGAGAGACACAGAAAGGCTTGGGTGTATACTCAGTGTCCCATCACTAGAGAGAGACATAGAAAGGCTTGGGTGTATACTCAGTGTCCCATCACTAGAGAGAGACACAGAAAGGCTTGGGTGTATACTCAGTGTCCCATCACTAGAGAGAGACACAGAAAGGCCTGGCTGTATACTCACAGAGTGTCCCATCACTGCGTGGGCCATCTCATGTCCCAGGATGAAGGTGAGCTGATGAACGTCTGCTACGGCCTCCAACATCCCAGTGAACATAAACACCTTCCCATTCTAGAGGAGAGAGAAAGGTATCATACAAACAACACTTACTGTTTTCATCTGGACTGGCCAGTTTCAGCTAACTGTTTTGATGTGGACTGGCCAGTTTCAGCTAACTGTTTTGATGTGGACTGGGGATAAAACAAACAAATCACAGACAGAGAGCAGGGGCTGGGACTGGGACTCACAGGCAGTACGAAAGCGTTGACGGTAGGGCTGTCGACCACGTGGACGCTCCATGGAACAGAGGAGACCTCTGGGATGTCATTGTTCCTCTGGGCCAGGTGCTGCACCACTCTCTCTACCACCTGGTGACGAGGGTCCTTCTCTGGAACCAACAACTCAGCAAATTCTTCCATGTACTGGGTAGAACACACACACAGTAAAATCAACATCCTCCTGAGGACACAAACAAGGGCCGGTTATATTATAATTAAGCAATAAGGCCCGAGGAGGTGTGGTATATGGCCAATAAACCGTGGCTAACGGCTGTTCTTATGCACGACGCAACGCGGAGTACCTGGATACAGCCCTTAGCCGTGGTATATTGGCCATATACCACAAAGCTCTTAGGTGCCTAATTGCTATTATAAACTGGTTACCAACATAATTAAACCAGTATATACGGTCTAATATACCACGGCTTTCAGCCAATCATCATTCAGGGCTCGAACCACACGGTTTATAATATAGAATATATTATGAATTGATAATTGCATAATAAACAGGTTCATCTGAATGGTTGAAAACTATGATCTTATTAGATTGAATATGGCCCACAGGGTTAACAGCATCTCTCTCTTTACCCCCCCTCTCTCTGCGGTACTGCAGGCATTGTTAGCAGAAAACAGCATTCCCCCATTATAGTGAATAGAAAAATGGCTATCTTTATGTAAATAAAACACTTTTTTCAAGACAATTATGGTACCAATAATTGCTTCTAGTACACCAGATATATGTCCTTGAACCACACACAGAAGAAGTTATAAGGATAATTTGTTGCTAATGGCAGCCTGCAGTAACCCGGTCGGCCTTCAACTTGAGTTACTCAATGAGAGGGGGCAGCACTGAGCTAGCCTGCAAAGTCACTTCCTGGAGTAGCTCAAACTGCGCATGTTATGTCTCCATGAGACGCTATCTTAACAGACTTCATGTCTTCAACGCGCTATTGAGTCTTCACATAGGAATGAATGGTGTCACGTGATTGATGGCTTTGTCGATTCATATATTCAGTCATTGGTCTCACCCCATCTCCTGTCACTGCAGCCAGCTCCATGTAGTTCTCTCTACTGAACACTAGGAGGCGTGTGCGTCCCGTGATGGGCGATTCGTCCAGATGAGTCAGGAAGAAACATGCCATGATCACCATAGCAACCATACCCCCGGCCACCAGCTGCCAACGGCGACGCCAGACCTCCTGACGCACGAGCTGCTGCTTATTGGGTGGGAGGGCCAACCACCACTTCCTGATACTCCTAGAGGAGAGGGGACACCAAAAACACCATGTAGTACTACTAGAGACAGGGACACCAAAAACACCATGTAGTACTACTAGAGACAGGGACACCAAAAACACCATGTAGTACTACTAGAGACAGGGACACCAAAAACACCATGTAGTACTACTAGAGACAGGGACACCAAAAACACCATGTAGTACTACTAGAGACAGGGACACCAAAAACACCATGTAGTACTACTAGAGACAGGGACACCAAAAACACCATGTAGTACTACTAGAGACAGGGACACCAAAAACACCATGTAGTACTACTAGAGACAGGGACACCAAAAACACCATGTAGTACTACTAGAGACAGGGACACCAAAAACACCATGTAGTACTACTAGAGACAGGGACACCAAAAACACCATGTAGTACTACTAGAGACAGGGACACCAAAAACACCATGTAGTACTACTAGAGACAGGGACACCAAAAACACCATGTAGTACTGCTAGAGACAGGGACACCAAAAACACCATGTAGCAGCAACGTCTATCTCACCATCATAAACCTTATCAATGTACAGTACAGTCGGGAAGTATTCAGACCCTTTCACTTTTTTCCCACATTTTGTTACATTACAGCATTATTCTAAAATGGATAAAATAAAATCATCATCAATCTACACACAATACCCAATAATAAACAAAGCGAAAACAGGTTTAGACATTTTTGCAAATGTATTAAAAATAAAAAACATAAGTATTCAGACCCTTTGCTATGAGACTCGAAATTGAGCTCAGGTGCATCCTGTTTCCATTGATCATCCTTCAGATGTTTCTACAACGATTGGAGTCTACCTGTGGTACATTCAATTGGACATGATTTGGAAAGGCACACACATGTCTATATAAGGTCCCACATTTGACAGTGCATGTCAGAGCAAAAACCAAGCCATGATGTTGAAGGAATTGTCCGTAGAGCTCAGAGACAGGATTGTGTCGAGGCACAGATCTTGGGAAGGGTACCAAAAAATGTCTGCAGCATTGAAGGTCCCCAAGAACACAGTGACCTCCATCATTCTTAAATGGAAGAAGTTTGGAACCACCAAGACTCTTCCTAGAGCTGGCCGCCCGGCCAAACTGAGCAATCGGGGGAGAAGGGCCTTGGTCAGGGAAGTGACCAAGAACCCGATGGTCACTCTGATAGAGCTCCAGAGTTCCTCTGTGGAGATGGTTGTCCTTCTGGAAGGTTCTCCCATCTCTGCAGCACTCCACCAATCAGGCCTTTATGGTAGAGTGGCCAGATGGAAGCCACTCAGCAAAAGGCACGACAGCCCGCTTGGAGTTTGCCAAAAGGCACCTAAAGGACTCTTAGACCATGAGAAACAAGATTCTTTGGTCTGATGAAACCAAGATGGATCTCTTTGGCCTGAATGCCAAGCTTCACATCTGGAGGAAAACAGGCACCGCTCATCACCTGGCCAATACCATCCCTACGGTGAAGCATGGTGTTGGCAGCATCATGCTGTGTGGATGTTTTTCAGCGGCAGGGACTGGGAGACTAGTCAGCATCGAGGGAAAGATGAACGGAGCAAAGTACAGAGAGATCCTTGATGAAAACCTGCTCCAGAGCACTCAGGACCTCAGACTGGGGCGACGATTCACCTTCCAACAGGAGAACAACCCTAAGCACACAGCCAAGACAATGCAGGAGTGGCTTCGGGACAAGTCTCTGAATGTCCTTGAGTGGCAAAGTACTTAGTAAAGGGTCTGAATACTTATGTAAATGTAATGTTTCCATTTCTTTTACTTCTAAAAACCTGATTTTGCTTCATATTCAATTATGGGTTATTGTGTGTAGATTGATAAGGGGGGGGGGGGGGGGGGGGGGGGACTATTTAATCAATTTTAGAATAAGGCTGTAACGTAACAAAATATGGAAAAAGTGAAGGGGTCTGAATACTTTCTGAATGCACTGTTGATGGACTGAGATGACACTCGGACGTGTGTCTTACCTGCCCAGTATAATAGCCACTATTTTCTGCAGGGGTTTGAGTACCAGCCAGATGAGAGGAGCAGGCAGGGCGCGGTGAGGAGCAGAGGTATGGAAGAAGTTCTGTCCATGCTTAGACAACCATATAACAGGGACACAGTGGACAGCAGGGCCAGGTCTGGGTGTCCCCACTGGGAAAAGTACTGTTCTTACATTCTCCGATGAGAAAAGTAGTCTCTGAGACAAAGATGGCCTCAACTGAAGTTGACAAACAGAGTCTGTGGTTTCGGGATGCAGTAGATTCCGACATGTGTTGGTTGAGTAGAGTTCTGTAGCAGGTAATGTCCTCCTGGTTGTTGGTTGTCTCTGTCGGCAAAGGGAGGTTTGAAAGCTTCTAGACAGGTAGGCAGGGAGGCAACTGCGTTGATTCCTCATGAGACGGACACACAACAACTCCATGGTTCCTGAATGAGAAGACACCACTTCCTGAAATGCCCAGGTGAAAGCATACGGAAGAAAAGTCCTTGACTATGGAAGCCCATTCCCTCCATCCGAAAAATATGAAGGGCTCTATTCAATCTGCATCACGGAAGTTCAGCTTTACGGCGTGATTTAAGTTTAAAAACAATGTTCCCGCTTTAGCGGAGACTGCATTCACGGTAAACTCTACATATGTCGGCTCAATTGGAAACGCTTCAGCTTGACTGCTTGAATAGAGCCCTAAAATGTCGATACTAGTGTATTGAATTTTTTTTTGCTGAAATCCGTCTGGATTTCCAGGCTAGGGGGTAGGGGCTTGGGAGGTTAACTTTGGCATGTTGTAGAATTTTTGTTTAAAGTTTGGTAATGTATTTAGGCTGACTTTTTAGAAGCCTTCTTCCACATCAATAAAACTTACACGTGTGACAAATGTGTGTGGAAAAGGCTGGATGTTATTTTACACTTCTATGTTTATTTTCAGGCAAAGGTCTACCCAAGCCTCCACCAAAATATGCCCGAAGCACCAGAAAACATGTGCCACTGCTACCAAGAAGCAAAAGGCTAAAACACAGCACAATCCACCAAGTAATGACGGTGAGGACGGCCCTTCACAATGTAAGCCAACTCTTTATTCTTGATCACTGTATTTGAGAAAGGTATTCTAATTGTAAAAACAATTGGCATGATGTCATCTCGGTCTCTCACATGGCTTAACCCCGGAGCATGGGGTCTCGGGGTCCCCTTCTGCCTTCTTAATTAAGGTTCAGACCCTTTTCCTGTGACAGACGCAAGTATGAAACTCTCCATTTAGAATTTTGGGTTAGTTTGGCCTATCCAAGCCCCCACTAACATCTGCTCTGACGCGCCAGAAAACCTGTGCCAGCGCCACTAAGAAGCAAAAGGCTCAAACGCCCTGCAAACCACCAAATATTGGTGGTGAGGGGAAATGGCAAACTAAAACACCACACAAGTCACCAAGTGTGGGGATGGGGAAACTGCAAATTAAAACGCTGCTCAAGCCACCAAGCGACTATAGTGAGGAACCTTCACAACGTAAGCCAACCCCTTATTGTCATTCTTGATCAATTGGGAAAGGTTATTTAATTGTACCAAGAATTGCCATGATGTATTTTACTGCAGAGAATCTTGAGCATTTATGCTCCAAGGATAGGTCATGTGGGAGACCGAGGTCTCCTTCTGCCTCTTTACATTTACATTTTAGTCATTTAGCAGACGCTCTTATCCAGAGCGACTTACTGTTAGTGAGTGCATACTTTTTTTTTTTCATACTGGTCCCCTGTGGGAAATGAACCCACAACCCTGGTGTTGCAAACGCCATGCTCTACCAACTGAGCTACACGGGACTCAGATGAGAGATCCACCTCCCCAAAGCGCTGCAAAGGCTCATACCCTTTTCCTATGCCAGAAGCAAGTATGACACATTTATTTTTAAACTATTTTTTATGATATTGAAATTAGGCTGTTATATTTGGAAGTAAAAAAATGTAAAACTACTTTTACATGTATTTATTTTTTAAGAGTCCCATTTCTCCTTTGTGAGATCCGTGACCTTTTAAAGGACAGTCGCCAAGTCCGGTTGAGGAATTCGACTTCAACCTGAGCGAGACTGAGGAAGTATTGCTAAAGATGAAAGAGCAGCTCATGGAGAATGATTTCCGAAAAGACATGGTGAGAAATTAAATGTTTCATTGGTATGAGTTGAAGGACATTATATGGCCATGTAGTACTGGATGGAAAAATCCTGTACATGTGCAATGCATCAGTGTCCTTTTGTAAAATTAGATATCTCAGATCTCAAAGCTGGGGGGAAAGACATTCTGAACCAGGTGAAGAGAGCAATGCACTGGTAAACTATTCCCATATTTGTTTCACTTCTTCAAATTAGGTCATGGTGTGTTGCTTGTAAAGTACATAATTTGTGTTCTATACAGAACCCTGACAAACAGCCTCATGTCAAGGATGAATCTGAAAGGAAACAAAGGGATGAGGGCCTTTGAGGACTCCACCATTTGCAGCATCATTATAGGTACAGTGGAGGCCAAATCATGACATTTTACATGACATTTGAATACCTTCTCTAGCTAATATTTGTTTCCCCCCTTTACAGCAGGTGTGAGTCTTGGCGAATTAAAGGCTACAGAGGCAGAAATACTACAGGCGACGTCAACCTCCCTGAAATATGCACCGGACTGCAAGGGGGCCAGTGGGAGGGCCAATGAGTAAGGGGATGAAAGAGTTCTTAAGAAGTTAAAAGCATCAAAGCCTTTTTAGGCTTTTATTTGTACATCGATTTTGTGGTGCAATATATATATTTCAACCATTCTTGACTTTGACTAAAAAAAGTGCATATGTTTTTACATGGTCAAAGGTTTATAAATGCTGTTCCAAGTTACTGCTCTAATTGTGTTACACAGAATGACAATAGCCAACAGTAGTATGTTTGGAAGATACAATTCTACTCATGGTGCAAAATGTATTATACATCAGGGTACAAAGGTCCTGGTTGATACAGTTTGTTTCCCTATATTGCTCAGGCTCTTATCCTTATTTAATGTAAAGAAGCATCAATCACAAAATAGCTACTACTTCTCAACACACTTCATGGATTGGCAATAATCCCTGTTGAATTCATGGTGTGTTTTGGTCAAATCAGATCACAATATGTTCTCAACCTCACTCCAATATTGAAATGATTATTAGTAGAGTATAGTTTTCAAACTCGATAGCACCGAAATAAAAAAATAACTGATGGCTTGAGGGGGTTAATAAATTGAAATCTCATTGATCAATGTCTCAACCAAATATTACCAACATTTCCACGTTGAAATGACGTGGTGCCAAGTGGGTTGTTTCCCCTGGCCAGAGGGGATCAGTGTGCATAGGCTTCTCTAAGCTACTTGCAGATGTGGTTGTTAGGAGTAGGCTAGAGTTGATCAGACTGAAGCACAGATTAATTGTGCAAAAGTAGACAAATCATGAGGCAAATCAGTCTAAATAAACTTACTTTGTTGTCCCTCTTTTCAATGCTTTTTTGTCAATATTTTTAATTAAACCAGGTGCTGGGGCAAACGCCAGCTTGCCACAAGTTTGCGGGCAGCCCGGCTGTGCTGACCTCTACAACATAACGATACATGGACATCCGCACACAATGCTACAAATGAAAAAACATAATCCTATTCTTATGATCTAGCTGAACATTTTGATATAGTCACCATTTTTAGATCATTAGCATTTTTTTAAAAGTATCTACATTTTTAGACAGTAAAGATAATATCTCAAACGTTTTACTTATCTCAATTTTGAAATAGTATATATTTTTAGATCGTACCTTGACATTTCGACTTGCTTATCTGGAAATGGTGATAGCAAAACAAAACAATTGTTGCGGGAATGGGCTTCCATAGGTGACAGTTTAAGTTCAACTGACAGTTTGCAATTGCCAGTAGTGTTTCCCTGAGATTACCACCTTTAACTGTGGTTTTATTAATAGCTACAGTAATATTATTAACAAGAGATTCAATGTCATGTCATTGCAGTCTCGCCGTCGTGGGTTATAACTACCTAGCTAGCTCATCTGATGCAATGGCACCGATAAACATAGCATGTGTGAACAACACGTTAAAGTTACCTTTGTATGATCGATACTTCCTTAAAACCCCTTAATTAATCTTGGAGGCTCCAGCTTGAGAAATAAATGCTGATTTACAGTTATTCATTTTCCATTTACTTTGACAGTCCTCTGCAAGTCAAAAACATGCCTAGCATCGGGGAGGAACTGTCTTGTGCGTCTAAAATAATAGTCCCCCCTGCAACTGCAACGCATGCGCTTAGACAATGTTCCGACAATGACCGTCTCCTCAAAGATGACATTCTCCAGACAGTGTCTATTCAGGTTTGACACATTCATTAGTGTGAATAAACGGAAATTACATGAACTACATTATGCACATTTTATTATCGACAGTGATACAGGTACAGCGTACTATGTTCTGTTTTTCTTTAAGTATTACTGATGGGTAACTAAACCATAAAACATTTGAACATCAAAAGTGCAAACCCAAACATCGAAATGTTTGACTTTCGTTCCTTTTTTTAAAAGGTGGATTCGTATAACCTACTATACATATGGTATGAAAAATAACATTTATTCATGACTCCAATTCCATTGCATTACATTGAGCCATTGGATGTCCCCTTTAGCCTTGTGAGGCAAATGCCCCGACGCTGCCAAAATTATGCCTAAACGTAAATACGCCATACACGCAATATTGTTTAGTAAATATTAGGAACTTAACTTTCATATGAACGAGACATAATTTGGAGGCTGTGTTACAGTCGGGTGAAACTGCTTACAGTAAGCTTATCTTTTGTATTTTAAAGATTCTCTCTCGCTGTTACTGAAAGTTGAGTTCCAAATGTTTCCAAAACCGTATTGCAAGGATTATTAACGTGTCTAAACGTTAAAACAGATAGTTGGGAATGTAGTTCACATGGAGCCAGCTGTCCTCCATACCATCTGCTGAGAACCCAAGATGGGGACCGGCTGTAAGCCACCTTGGGCCCCTTTGGGTTCTCGAGAGCTACAGTCGAACTAAATCAAGTACGCCTACTAATGAACCTAAAGAACTGGCTAAAAAACGAAGAACTGGATACATAAAGAAACCTATTAGATTCAGAATAGATAATCATGACCAGTCAACAACACAGAACCAAACTGTATTGGATGTAAGCTCTCTTGGTTAGCTGTGTGTGAGTTAATAGTTTCTATATTAGGCGTTTCTAAATGATCAGTTGGAGAGACAGATTCATTCTCCCATCTTCCTGTGCTCCTGTGTCTTCTGTTCCGTTGATGTTGATTGGCTGAGTGAAGGTGAAGGCATGGGTGTTGATTGTCTCTGAGGAGCTAAAGGTTCCGCCCTCATCCTGGTCTCTGGGTTGCTCGAAACTAAGTGAGACTGGAAGAGAGCATGGATCTGGGAAAGGAAGGGATCTCCCTCCTCTGGCAGGGGCTCCAGATACCTCCCTAAAGATGCCATCATCTACAGAGAGAGACGGAGGGTGAGACGGGAAGGAGACAGTGGGTGAGACAGGGATTGGAAAGTTATGGGATTCAAGGTTGAGACAAGGGTTGAGAGATAGAAGTGAGGCAGGTATGAGAGCGCGAGATGAGAAAGGACAGAAGACAGAGAGGAGGGGTGAGACCATAGAGAATTATAGAGGACTCTTCTTTGCATCTGTCCCATTATGGCATCTGTGAGTTGGTAAACAAACTGAAACGGTGCATACTGCCACCTGGAGTGTGGTTTGAAGACAACTGGTATAAAGACAAGGTTGGCAATTTAATGCCACCTGCAGTTATGGAATGTTTGCTCACGAGTATAATTAATTGGCTGATCCCTCCTGATGAACCGGATGGAATTATGTGATCCTTCCTTAACCCATAGGAAATTCCACCCAGTTGACTACTTTTACATTTAAGTCATTTAGCAGACGCTCTTATCCAGAGCGACTTACAAATTGGCGAAAGTCCTCAATGGCACTGCCAATGCTAAAACAGGCTTTTGGGCACTAGAGTCCTCAATCTCTATAGGTGAGACAGAGATATGAGCCAAGGAGGCAGTGTAACCTACCTTCTCGAGACAGGTGAGATTAGAGTCCCTGCGGAACAGCCTGTCCATCTGGACACTGCAGTGGGCATGTTTATATTTGTACATGATCCACTCTGCCCTCCTCATCAACTGGCTCCAGTCAGGCTGCTGCTGGGAACACTGGTAGTCAAACCTGTAGGGCAGCTCTGAGAAAGGTAAGGAGAGAAAGAGAAAGAGAGAGGTAGAGGGAGAGAGAGGATGAATATGCATGCTCATACTATACAATATATATTTATATTTTTTTCCTACCAAGTTGATAATGGGTTGTGAAAGAGATGTGTGTGTCGTACTCTGTGGTCCTGTAGGTCCTTGGTCCTCTCTGACCATCAGGCAGGTGGTCTGGGAACGGGGGGAGGGGTTAGCGGGGTCAAACGGACTCACGATCATCCCAATAAAGGGGGCTCCGCCTCGAGAGAAATAACTCTGAGAGAGAGTGGCAGAGTCAGAACACACGTACATGCGTGCGCACACACACACACACACACCTATATGTACCTGGAACTGGTCCTGTGTGTGTATATCCCGTAGAGAGGGGTTAGGGTGGAAGGTGGGGTGAGAGTGGTACCATCCCACTACAGCCAAGCCCAGGCTAGACAGCATCTCACAGGCCTGAGTCTGAGACAACGGGTCCATCTCACACTGCAGACCTGTACTCACACTGTTACACGGCTCCGCTGCAACGATCTAGGACATAGACACACACATTCATAGATACAGAGAGACACACCCAAGAAGACTCGAAGCTGTAATCGCTACCAAAGGTGCTTCAACAAAACACTGAGTAAATGGTCTGAATACTTACACTACCAGTCAAAAGTTTGGACACACCTACTCATTCAAGGGTTTTTCTTTATTTGTACTATTTTTTACATTGTAAAATAATAGTGAAGACATCAAAATTATGAAATAACACATATGGAATCATGTAGTAAACAAAAAAAGTGTTAAACAAATCAAAATATATTTTATATTTGAGAATCTTCAAACTGCCACCCTTTGCCTTGATGGCAGCTTTGCACACTCTTGGCATTCTCTCAACCAGCTTCACTTGGAATGCTTTTCCAACAGTCTTGAAGGAGTTCCCACATATGCTGAGCACTTGTTGGCTGCTTTTCCTTTTACTCCGACTCATCCTAAACCATCTCAATTGGGTTGACGTTGGGGGATTGTGGAGGCCAGGTCATCTGATGCAGCACTCCATCACTCTCCTTCTTGGTAAAATAGCCCTTACACAGCCTGGAGGTGTGTTGGGTCATTGTCCTGTTGAAAAACAAATGATAGCCCCACTAAGCCCAAACCAGATGGGATGGCGTATCGCTGTAGAATGCTGTGGTAGCCATGCTGGTTAAGTGTGCTTTGAATTCAAAAAAATCACAGACAGTATCACCAGCAAAGCACCCCCACACCATAACACCTCCTCCTCCATGCTTTATGGTGGGAAATACACATGCAGAGATCATCCGTTCACCCACACCGCGTCTCACAAAGACACGGCGGTTGGAACCAAAAATCTCACATTTGGACTCCAGACCAAAGGACACATTTCCACCGGTCTAATGTCCATTGCTCGTGTTTCTTGGCCCAAGCAAGTCTCTTCTTATTATTGGTGTCCTTTAGTAGTGGTTTCTTTGCAGTAATTCGACCATAAAGGCCTGATTCACGCAGTCTCCTCTGAACAGTTGATGTTGAGATGTGGCTGTTACTTGAACTCTGTGAAGCATTTATTTGGGCTGCAATTTCTGAGGCTGGTAACTCTAATGAACTTATCCTCTGCAGCAGAGGTAACTCTGGGTCTTCCATTCCTGCCGCGGTCCTCACGAGAGCTAGTTTCATCATAGCGCTTGATGGTTTTTGCGACTGCACTTGAAGAAACTTTCAAAGTTCTTGGAATGTTCCATATTGACTGACCTTCATGCCTTCAAGTAATGATGGACTGTTGTTTCTCTTTGCTTATTTGAGCTGTTCTTGCCATAGCCCTATTTGGTAAAAGACCAAGTCCATACTATCTTCTGTATACCCCCCCTACCTTGTCACAAAACAACTGATGGGCTCAAACGCATTAAGAAGGAAATAAATTCCACAAATTAACTTTTAAGAAGGTACACCTGTTAATTGAAATGCATTCCAGGTGACTACCTCATGAAGCTGGTTGAGAGAATGCCAAGACGTCATTACACTAGTGTTATCAGTATTTTCTTTATGATCACCACCACGATGGTTGTCTCACCTTCAGGACTTTGTCCTCCTCCTCGCTGTAAGCTCCTCCCAGTAGCCCGATAACCTCTTCCATCGACACATGAGCATGCTGGGTAAAAATACAAACAAAAGACACTGAGCCCTAAGACCTAAGCCTTGGTAAACAACCCACACTGATATCTCTCTCTGTGTGTTCATGTGTAAACATAGTTGCTATATTAGATAAGATAGTACTCTATTACACAGTACTTTATGAAGAGAGTCCTTTATTAAATATATGTGTAGATGTATGTACTGTTAGATTCTTAATAAACAGAGTAAAACTCATGGACGACTAGTAAAGCTCAAACCAAGTTTATTCACCCACTAGGTCACACAGCTGCATAAGACAAAGACCTGTTCCCACCAGCACAAGTATTTATACCCCACTTTAGGTGGAGTCTCCTCCTTTTCTCTAAATATGACATCTTTGTTGCTAGGCAGGAAGTTAAGTGATGTGGGTAATAAATTGTTCCTTCATGTGACCTGACCTCGGCCCCCATTCCTCACTAATCCACAGCGATCTACCCTTATCAGTGACCCCACCATATACATTCCTCCTACATATAACCATTAACTTCTGGTGTAGCAAGTATTTCAAATTACAACCAAACAATTGAACCCAGACTGTGGCTCTTCTCCTCTCCATAGGATACCTAATATCTAACAATAACATGTTATGACAGAATGTAAACGTTCTGCATTCCCCTCTCTCCCCCTCAGTAACATGAATAAGGATATTTCATATTTCAAGTTTCAAGTTTAGAAGTCAGAACCCATCAGTACTTACCATGTCCATGATGAGGAGAGCCTCAGCACAAACTAGCACCTGGAAGGGCTCCTGTCTGTCCTCTCCAAACATACGGCACGGAATCAACTGGAACGGATCCAACAACCTGATGATGGAGAGAGAGACTTTTAAGGCATGTCACGCACAGTACACATTTAAAAGGATCCACAGTGTTTCGTGACCACACACACACGCATAAATTGGTAGTATACATCACCCACACCTTTTGCACCTGGAGACCTTACAGGATTTAGACTGTCTCCTCATCTCCTCTCTCCTCAGGGCTAGCTCCTCTGCACTCAGATGCTCGAATGTCTGTCCCTCCAGGTCTTTAGCGTCATGCCAGTTCCCCCACAAGTCCCTCACACGACGCTTCCTGGTTCGCTACAACACACAACCAATCAACAACCCATTAACAGCATGCCATACACCTATAACAGGTCACAGACACCTCACATACACCTTATGAAGAGCCATCATAAACCTGACATAGAACTGTAATATAAGTATAACAGTACTGTAATAGAAGGGTATAGGGACCTTTAATAAAACATATAAATGACATATAAACCTAAGCCGGACAAATAGCTAACATAGCTAAGTGTTGCCGTCTGGGCCAGCTAGAGGGGTCTGAGGGACAGTAGGTGGTCAGAGGTTATAGAGGTCAGAGGTCATGGGTTGTCTCACCATGCTCTGTAGTCTCTGTGCCAGCTGGTATTCCAGAGTGTCTCTGCTGTCTCTGGGTTTGGACCGATCCACCACCCTGGGACGGTTATACACCGCCTGGTCTGGAGGAGGGGGGAGACAGAATACACAAATCAGACAAAAAAATGTAATCAGAACAATTAGCACAACTAAGAGAGATAGAGACTGAGAAAAAGAAAGAGACAATCAACGACACACTGGTAGTGAGTCCTAGTTACCACAGTTGAAGTTGATGGCTCCTATCAACTCCAGGTAGGTGTGTATTCTGCCAATACAGTTGACATCTCCACAGTTCTTCAGGCCAGGACGCACTGACGTCTTGTTCAAGTACCTGGGCTTACTCTTCAACCTGAGACAAACACACACAAAAAGCATGTTGAAAATGAAACCTTGATGTCTCTGATTGGTTGTGTGTGTGTATGTGGTCCTCTGTAGCTCAATTGGTAGAGCACGGCGTTTGTAACGCCAGGGTAGTGGGTTCGATCCCCGGGACCACCCATATGTAAAAATGTATGCACACATGACTTTAAGTCGCTTTGGATAAAAGCGTCTGCTAAATGGCATATTATTATTATTATTATTTATGTGTGTGTGTACCATTGGTCCAGGATGTAGTTCCTGATCCTCAGATATCTCTCTGGGGTTTTGGATGGTCGTCCCTCAAAGAATTCTGGAATAGCTTGTTTCTCCTCCTCTGTGATGGTTGCCGGGTCCAGCTCCACTTCCTGCTCTGGGGCTTTAAGCTCCTCCTCTTCCTCTCCAGACTCCTCCCCATCCCCTGCCCACCTAGACCCCCCTGTTTCCTCTCCAGACTCTACTGGGTCTCTCTGGGGCTCAGCAGTGCCCCCCTCACACTGTCCGCTGGGAGCCTGCTCTGTTAGGCAGGGGGAAGGAGCTGTGAGGGAGGATGGAGGGCTACAGTTAGGCTGCTCCTGATCAGTCTCTCCCAGCCTGGGGTGTGTCTGGTTGGGTTGGTCCTGGTGGGTCTCTCCCTGGTTGTCCAGCTCCTCTGGGGCTCCAGGCTCACATGTCTCAGTATTAACTCCTGCCTGGAGGTCCTCTCCATTCCCCTCAATCCATCTGTTTTCTCGTCCGTTTTCTTCTCCCATCCCTCCATCCCCTCCTCCACTCCCGCCCTCATCGCTGAGGTCATCAGTGATGTCCACCTCCTCCTCCTCTTCGTCACCCAGTCTCTCTATCCGGACAGCGTTGGTCAGAGCTGACAGGTGGCTGGGGACAGACAGGCCAGAGGTGGACACTGCTGACCCTGTCTCTGGGACCTGGCCTAACACCACTGGGGCTGTAGAAGGCACCACAGCAGTAGTATTGCCCTCTGATTTAGCCTGCAGGCAGAGAGGAGGGGGAGACTGAAATGGTGAGAGGATGATGAGAGAGGCCAGAGACAGGAGGATATCTCAAATATAGCCTGGTTGGCTGAGCTGGGAGAGGTGTAGACTAGAGGACAGTGCTACCTTGTGTTTGAAGTACTGTCTGGCGTAGCTCTTCACCTGGAGAACGGTCCGGCTGCCTACCAGCTTGGAGATCTTAGTCCATCTACGGCCAATCTGAGCCTGGGGGTTCAGGGCATATAGAAAGTAGGGAGTCATTTAAGATCGATGAGACAGGAGAGGAGAGAGGGAAGAGGGTCATACCAGTCCTGTCTCAAACAGCTCCTTCTCCTGCTGAGACCAGCGAGTGGCTGTAGAGGAGCCTGAAGCTGAGGACTTGGCTGGAGACCTGGGGACAACACGGCAGTCACAGTATCACGTCAGAGGGTACAACACAATATGTCCAGAAGAGTTCACACATAAGGAAACATGACTAACCTCTTCAATTTGGGTTTAGGGTTAGGTGGCACGTTGGCCCACACACTCTTGGGCATCTCTTTACCTGTCAAATAATACCTAGAGAAGTGCTTAAGGTCTAGGACACATCTTATATCAAGACAGACAAACAAACATCAAAATCTGAACAGAGGTGTGTGTATGGTCTATGGTCCAGGAGAAGGATACTGTTCCTCCAGCAGCATGTTCTCTATCACTTCTCTGTTCTCTGCACTGATGGAGCTGTCCAGTTCCCACAGCTATAGAGGATAGAGAGAGAGTCAACACACACAATACACAATACACAGAGTACCCACTTAACTTCCATTGTATCATATTCCTTAGGTAGTAACACTTCTTACTAGGACCCCAATATTGGTCTTCCATGCTGACAGCATGTACTGGTTCTGGAGTAACACTGCTCTGTCACCGAAGTCCCTGAAATAGGAATGATAGTTATTAGCTATGCATTACTATCACGTAATAACAAGGAGAACATAGAAAAGCAGGAAAATCTCTATTTTGGCTAGGGGATAGGTTAGTTTCTATTATATATGAATGGAGGATAAATGTCAGAAAAGCAGGAATTCCTGATTAATCAGAAAAAAAAATCACATCCCTGGTCTATAACAAATATCTGCTGCAGCATAGACAGTGGAGTGGGGTGTCAAGAATGTCGGCTTTCACATGGACTACGAGTCGATATTCATGTCATAAGAAGGAATTCCCCTCGACCACGAAACAAACATTCTTTCCCATTGAGCCCCATTGTAAGAGACAACTTCGTCGTACATTTTTTGTTATACTGAAATAACAAAACATGCTGAAAAGCCTCTGTGTTGTTTAATGTACAATTGAGACTGTGAGATGAGCACTGTGGTTAGATTGGGAAATTGTGGGGACCCGGTGTCCAAGTAGGCTACACATTTCATCACAGGTAAGACATTTAAAGAGCGACTGCCTCTAAAAACCAACGAATCCCTTAGAAAACGATCTGTGGCATCGATATGAGTCAAACATTTATTATTGTGTCAAAATTGACTACAAAGTTAAATAAGATAATTTTGGTCATAGTCAGTCTCGTCTAAAACGGAGAAGGTTGGTTTTGGATTACAATTATGTCAACAAATCATTCCCCCCTTTGCCAAGCTCCACGTGCAAATCGCCCCTCTGCTTCCCTTCATTGAGGGAGTTCTATTACGCTGGCCCGGGTTGAACCGGGCAATGGCACGTGTCGTGAATGAGCCTAGTCAATATGACCTGATAACTCCTCCAGTCCTCAGACAGAACTCGGGCTAACACTGAGACAAGAAAGAACAAGAAGAAGCGGAAAGACAGGAAGAGGCCTCAACCACAAGCTGCTAGAGAGCAGCAAGACCCAGTCAAAGGCAGAGGAAATGACGGGTGCTGGTAGACTGTATGCAGATGATCCTCAGCCGGAGGGCAGAGAGACCCCAGTCAAACCTCGGCCCTGGGATGGAGTTGGTAGAGTTGCCTGATGGCACGTGGGCCATGAAGCAGATGACACTACGGATTGTTGTCACCTACGAAGGAACCAATGTGTTACCTGACTGTGTAGACATCACGTGTAAAGGAGACAATGTATTACGTAACTTTTCTTAAACGTCACATGTAGGGGGGAGGATGTGTTGTGTGGCTGTAGTCAAAGGAGGCATGGACTTGGGCAAAAAAGGGGTATAAAAACCAATGTAAAAGACATTTGAAGGAGCGGAGATTCTGGGGAAGACAGATCAGGAATCTGAGATTCTGGGGAAGACAGATCAGGAATCTGAGATTCTGGGGAAGACAGATCAGGAATCTGAGATTCTGGGGAAGACAGATCAGGAATCTGAGATTCTGGGGAAGACAGATCAGGAGCGGAGATTCTGGGGAAGACAGATCAGGAATCTGAGATTCTGGGGAAGACAGATCAGGAGCGGAGATTCTGGGGAAGACAGATCAGGAGCGGAGATTCTGGGGAAGACAGATCAGGAATCTGAGATTCTGGGGAAGACAGATCAGGAGCGGAGATTCTGGGGAAGACAGATCAGGAGCGGAGATTCTGGGGAAGACAGATCAGGAGCGGAGATTCTGGGGAAGACAGATCAGGAGCGGAGATTCTGGGGAAGACAGATCAGGAGCTGATTGATGTATTAGAAGTTAGAAGACTTTTGTGGGTAAGGTAAAAACAGAATTTAATTACTACTGTTAGAAGCTACTGCATTGTAATTGCTTTATAAAAAAAAACAATAAAATCCATCAGTTGTGAAACCAAAAGAGAAGTGTTACTGGTTTTCATTAACTAGTTAAATGATTTGTTGAATAAAGTGCTAAAGAAGAAAAGTTGCATTATAACAACTATAGGCTCAGGGGGTACACCTTAGGTGGCCCACAGCCAGACCATATTGTGGGCTCAAGCAGGAAACCACAGAGGAGCTTGAGGGTAACTGTGTAAAAAGCAAACAAAAGGAGTACTGAGTATCCAAACCCCTGCTTTCAGCTAAGTAGTAATTTCAAGAAATTACTTTTAGCTGAAACCCTATACCCAGGATTTAGCGAGTGTGACTACGCCTCAACTAGAAAGGGAGGACCAGCCGCTGGCAGGAGTGTCTGAGATTATGGCGTGTTTATACAAATGGTATAAACCCGTGGCTGAAAGTATCCTGCGTGAACGGCGAGATAACACGCAGTAAGAGCCGGGGCTCACTAAAATAGTGCAGAGCGGATTATAAATAAATGTTGAATTGCTCGTTGGTGTTGTACACAAAAATAGCCCCCGCTGACGCGTAGTATACCTTGTCACAAACTACCCGTGAACTGTTAACAGTAGGAAGAAGTGCGCTAACCTTTGTGGCAAGCAGGGATAGACCAAGAGGGGTGACCCGGGTTGATAAAGTGAGGGCTCCACTGCTAACTCAGTTTAGGGTAGGAAGACAGGGAGGCCACCTCACCAGAAAAGAGGCTCATACTGCGGGATAATCCAGGCCTACAACGCGCGGTGGGAGTTGACCCACCCTGTAGGCGCGTGAGTGAAGGAAACAGCTGCGGGCAAGGTTCTGAAAGATGGGTGTGTCTTGGTGGTGGCAAGGACACACCCAAGAAACACCCACATCAAACCACACCCCCAAGCCAACTCACGTTTGGTTTCTGTCAAGGCCGCCAGCATTTCTTGAGGAGCAAGCCCAAAAACGAGGCCAAATCAGCAGGTGCAGTTCCCCTTTAATTTGTTAAGTATAGTTTGTTTGTAACTCCACTATTACTTGTAATAACCTCCCAAGTGGCGCAGTGGTCTAAGGCAGTGCTAGCTGTGCCACTAGATATCCTGGTTCGAATCCAGTCGTAGCCGGCCGCGACCGGGAGACCCATGGGGCGGCGCACAATTGGTCGAGGGTAGGGGAGGGAATGGCCGGCAGGGATGTAGCTCAGTTGGTAGAGCATGGCGTTTGCAACGCCAGGGTTGTGGGTTCGATTCCCACGGGGGGCCAGTATGAAAAATAAAAAAATGTATGCATTCACTAACTGTAAGTCGCTCTGGATAAGAGCGTCTGCTAAATGACTAAAATGTAAATGTGGCTGTATAGTCCGTTTGTTTGTGTTGTTGGTCTTGGCTAGCTTAATGTTTCGGTCGGTATCAAGCTAGCTCCGCCATGAAAAGGGGCATGAGGGAAACTCTACAATATTACCACAGATAGAACAATGAGCCAGATATTTCACTGGCTGGTCTCAGATGATCCTGCAGGTGAAGAAGACGGATATGGAGGTCCTGGGCTGGCGTGAGGTCGGTTTGATGTACTGCCAAATTCTCTAAAACAGCGTTGGGAGGTGGTTTATGGTAGAAAAAGTAATATTAAATTCTCTGGCAACAGCTCTGCTGTACATTCCTGCAGTCAGCATGCTAATTGCGCTCCCTCAACTTGAGACATCTGTGGCCTTGTTTATGTGACAAAAGTGCACATTTTAGTTGCCTTTTCTTATCCCCAGCACAAGGTGCACCTGTGTAATGACCATGCTATTTAATCAGCTTCTTGATATGCCACACCTGTCATGTGGATAGGTTAAGGAGAAATGCTCACTAACATGGTGAACACAATTGTGCACAAAATGAGAAATAAGCTTTTTGTGTGTATGGAAAATTTGAGATTTTAATTTAGCTCATGAAATATGGGACCTACACTGTAGCGTTTTTTTTTTTTGTTCAGTATAGCTCGAATAATCTACTGATCAAGCTGAACGACCCTGTTGTCGACGTCAACTAGCTAGGTAATTTAGCTAACTAGTCTACCGTGTTAGCCATGGCTATTGAGTTTCCAACGGGTTATTTAATGGCTCTGGTTCTTTGACTCGCCCAAATATCATCTAAACTGTATATTCATGACTTTTAACACATCAATGAAACACATTATAACGCTCTTACCCTAAATTAGGATCATATTCGTCTCCTTCGATATCAACAACATCCAGCTCGTCAGCCATGTTGGCTAGCCAAATTTCAAATAAGGGGGCAACAGCCTACTCATTCACAATACCGACATGATTCCTTGACAGCGACACCAAGTGGTGGGGGTGTGAGTCACCTTTCCACATTGGGTAATGCATGAGGGGGTGGTGCACATTATTTGCAAGGAGTGTTGTCAATACTCTTAAATGTTTTGCTTTCTTCATCTCTTCTCCTTCATTACCACTTATAAATGAAAGATTGTATAACAAGTGCTGTATCTCAGTTGTCTAAAGTGTATTTTTCTCATCAACCTACCACCTATTTGAAGTCAAAGGAAACGTGACATGTTCAGAAAAGTAGGATTGTTTAATTTACACTCATTTACATCAACAGAACATCAGTCTGATAAATATCCCAGAATATTCTCTCCTCTCCTCGTTCCATCATCAGGTTAGCAAAATAGACACCTTATCCTAAACAACTTGTCTGTAGGGTCAAAGAGTTGCCTGTGTTCTTCAAAAGAGACCATATTGTCTTGTTCAAAAGGGAACAAAAAAGGTTGGAACAGAACATCAAAATCCTGTGGATTAAAAACATTCTTAAATTTGACTGATTAATCACCCATTGTGATGCTTGTTTATGCATAAGCTAAAATACTATGACACAAAATGGTGGGCAGAGAGACCGAGACAATACAACCCATTACAAATGGGCAAGTTTGTTTGGCATGGCCGGTGTAGGTGGAGATTTTACTTAAGGACCAATTAAATAGTCTAAAATGTGCAAACTCTGCCAACCCGGGGCACCGTGCTATGCAAAACAAACTCACCCAATGGTTTGAGTAGCTGTAACAGAGGCTCATAATAGCACAGTGCAAACCCCTAAAACATCACACTGTTACTTTATGGTAAGCTATTCTCATTGTAAAAGAAGAGAAAGAGACGGTTGATACTGTAACATTTCATATTTCAAAGCAGGGATAGGTTGAAAGCCAGTCCTAGAGGTGAGCTAGTCATTTTTTTGCGTGAGCAGTTCACTGTCCAGCCACAAGATGGCGGTGTGGTCTCACAACACAGCAGCACAGTGAGTATTTATAGGAACACTCTTCTGTAACATAGGGAGCATTTAGAGAGAAATCAGACAACTTGTTTGGCTGCTCCAAAATCTTGGCACATATCTCAGTGCATCAACCACAAGTGTGTAAGTTTGTCCAAGTGCATATATATGACAGAGCCACAAATTTCAAAATAAAGTCAACTAACAGTCAATTAGTGGATCTCCCAACCACTCCCACCTCATTCAGTGCAAAGCAACCCTTCTCCTGCAACCTTCCCTGCCCCAATTACCCCCCAGGTGCAGGGTGTGGTTGCTGTGGTGACGCAGGTGTGTGTTAGATAGAAATATAATGCTGTCACTAGAGAAAAAGAGAGGGGCAGAGCAGACATGAGTTATAGGAGGACAGGAGGAGGGAGTAATCGAGTACAGCAGTGATTTAGAGGGTTACAGATGGAACTATTCCCTTTCCCCTACTCCACCCGCCAAGCAGCCGAAAGGCCAGCCAGAGAGAGGAGGGATGGCAGGCAGCAGATGTTTCTATGAAGAAATGTGTGAGTGTGTGTGGGTAAGAGATTGTGTGTGAATGAGTGCAAGTGTTTCTGAAAGCGAGTGACAGGGTGTGTGTGCGTGCGCATGTGCGTTCTGCCCCCTCAGTGTTGCTGTCCACTCCAGCCACGGTTTGGAAGGCAACAGTTCTGGCAGTATGGCACAGACAGCTAAATCAGAATATCTAAGGTCTATCAATAACCTACTATATAGTAAAGGGTTTGGCAACATGACTTACAGGTCATATACTGGAAGACATGGAAAGACGTGACAGACAGGACAGGACAGTCACACCTCAGTGTCTGGAAGACATAGTTGAGAGGTCACATTACCATATTAATGGTAAACACTTATTCGTTTACGCTCGCTTTTAAAAACCAATGACTCTGAAGGTCTGGCTGGTGTCTCACCCTCCACTGATTATTAGATAGACAGAGCAGATACCAACACAGTCCCTCAGCAGCTAGACAGAGCAGAGGAAGAGACTGGACGGGTAGGTCATTTGTGTCTGTAAGGATGTGTGATGTATGTGAGTGCGTGTTGTACATAAAAACCTATGAGTTAGTCTCATCTTCACCACCAGTCCCCACTCCCTATATGCTGGCTGATCCAGACAGAGCTGCCCGTCTCTCCCTGACCCCTCCCAGTGAGCGGGGGTGTTACGTGCGTGTGTGTCTCTTGTCGTCGAACAGCGAGCGGATGAGGTAGACCTGCACCCCCGTCACCAGCACCATCACCAGAAGGTTGGTCATGGACCACATGTTGACCCGGTTGTAGTTGGACTCCTGGAGGTTGCGGTCGCGGGCCTCGAACGCTTTGAGCACTGTCTGGATCTGAAGGCTCTTCCCCAGCCGGGCTTTAACACTATTGATGGTGTCCTGGAGAGCAGAGGGACAAAGAGGTTGGTAGTGGTTTGGGTTATCCTGATACAGTTATAGACATAGAAGCATCCTGGAACTAGAATCCAACAATACAGAGTAGACCAGACTTCAGGAGCATAGCGATTATGTATGTTAACTTTGACACGAGAGTTCCCAGGAGACAAGGTAACAGGACAGGGGGGAAGAAGGGGTGGGTGGATGTTAACAAAGCCTCAAAGGACAAACACGACTTCCTCCACAGCTGTACTTTACACTTCCTGTCCCTGACTAACTGACGCCTGTGTCCTGATACATGGGGTGGGGGTCTGGTATAAAGAACAAATAATTCTGCTCTCAGGTGCGTGTGTGGTTATTGTTGTAACATTGATGGCTGTGGTGCTCAGTCTCTCTGACCTTGTGCCGTTGTATTGGCAGTGTGTGTGTATGAGCTGGGTCAAAGTGACACCACCTGTGTGGTTGTGTGCTCTGTGAGCTGACGTGTTGTAACGCCAGCAATCTCTACTTCAGAGACAGACAAAACACCAATGTCAACAGACAACAGGCCTCAGACAAGAGACAGCTTCTGCCTGCTTGGTCACAGCCAATACACTAGGGCCGGGACGATACCAGTATTGCAATATTTTTTCCATGGCAAAAATGAAAAACTGAAGGAGACTAAACTCTTTGGTCCTTTAAAAATCTGCTGTATGTAAAATATTGTGTGCTATAGCTTGGAAAATAAATAAATGTGACTCTGGATGACAACATAATGATGTTTGTTTCCAACATTAGCGCTTTGTTTCCTTGCCACGATACTAACATCCCAGCCCTACAATACACCAATCTACCATTACTAATCTAATTTACACAGGGATTATTTTCTTCAATGATTATCCACAGGGATTCTTTTTTGACTATCCAGTATCCAGAATCACATTCAAAGATCTTCTAAGAACGTGTGAATTGTGAAATGTTGCGTGTGAAATCGCACCCCCTTGCATGATGTGCTACAGATGTTGTGTAAAACTGCACACCTCCCCCCACCCTGATGTCTTACACGTGTCCTGTTGCATATAAAAGCAATGCATGCTTCCTAACCATGTCCTCTAGGGGAGTGTCTGAAATGGTGCCAATCCCCTACTTTTGACCAAGACCAATAGGGTATATAGCCTATATAGGGTACAAGTGCTGTGGTAGGCTACAAGTGCCTTGGTGTAGTATAAGAGCGCCCCCTCACCATGATGTCCTCAAGCTTCATGTCCAACATGTCAGTCCCGTGGATGTACTCCTTCCAGTCCTCTGGCTCCTCCCCTTCCTTTTCCATGTTGTCCATGATCAGCTCGAAGAAGATGATCTTTTCCGACACCGCCGAGAACGAGTTGTCAAAACAAAACATGTAGTCTCCATCCTCCGTCTCTACACTAAAGGAAACACATACCGGGAGAGTGTGAAAGAGAGAGATCGAGAGTGTGTGTCCTCCCCCATGTGAGTGTGTATTCCACACTTGCGTGGTGGTGTGTATGTTTGTGTCTTACGTGTGTACTCCGTCTGACTTGTGATGGTCGCTGTACAGAACGTGTCCAGTAGGAGAGGACAGGCTGAAGTCAACGTCCAGACCTGCTCCGTCCAACACCTGAGAACACACAGATGAGACAGGTAAGATGGGTGAGAGGAGAGACGAGTGAAAAGAGAGACATGTTGAGGAGAGCTGCTGTTGAACAAGTTTTAGAACAAGCAGAGAGCTTCACAATATGAACAAACCAGTTCCTTCCTGGTGTCTGTTTCTCTATAGTTGCATCATTAGTTCAGGGCAATTCCACAGTAACAGACTGGTTTTTCACTTTGAAAATATCAAACAAAAAACTATGATTGCAAACATAGAACTCTATGCACAAGGACTTGTTTTAACAATTTCCAATGTACATTTTACAAAAACACATTTACTTGAAGAATAGTGCAGATGCAAATTTTGGTAACAGAATGACGGCACAAACGGTCATTCTGTTACCAAACTTTGCATCTGCACTGTTCTTCAAGTAAAAGTATTTTTGTAAAATGTTCTGTGGAAATTGTTAAAAGTAGTCATTGTGCATAGAGATGTATAGTTTGTTTAACTTTGCAATCATTGGTTTTGTTTGGAATACATTTTAAAGTGACAAATCTGAGTCTCAGCATCACTCTGCTACTATAGTAATGCCCTTCAGCATTTCCACATCTCGGTCTGCTCTGTTATTTAGGAGCAAAGAATGTCAGGGTTTCCAAACTGAATTACAAATGTCTAGTTATTAGAGTATTTAAAAACACAGACATTCAACAGAGACCATGAAGAACTTAGAATCTCCACAAACTAAGGACATTATCAAAGTTTTGTTTTCACTCCAAGGGCAGAGTGGTGTGTTACAGCATGCCACAGAGATAGCTTGTCTATGGTGGTAGACACAACAATAGGGAACTTAGAAGTAGGCTACAGTGATGGTATGACAATCCCTCAATGTCAAAAATGTTAATTAAGATAGGCCTATTTCAAAGAAAATAAGAGGTTTTACCAAAGTTTTATGTTGAGAGATGTCATACTGCACTCCACACTGACCTTTTCCACCTGGACAAAAGGAACACCTACGTGAGAATGCTGTTCATTGACTACAGCGCAGCGTTCAACACCATAGTGCCCACAAAGCTCATCACTAAGCTAAGGACCCTGGGACTAAACACCTCTCTCTGCAACTGGATCCTGGACTTCCTGACAGGCCGCCGCCAGGTGGTAAGGGTTGGCCACAACACATCTGCCACGCTGATCCTCAACACTGGACCCCTCAGTGGTGCGTGCTTAATCCCCTCCTGTACTCCCTGTTCACCCACGACTGCGTGGCCAAGCACGACTCTAACACCATTATGAAGTTTGCTGACGACACAACAGTGGTAGGCCTGATCACCGACAACGATGAGACAGCCTATAGGGAGGAGGTCAGAGACCTGGCAGTGTGGTGCCAGGACAACAACCTCTCCCTCAACGTGAGCGAGACAAAGGAGATGGCCATGGACTACAGGAAAAGGAGGGCCGAACATGCCCCCATTCACATCGACTGGGCTGTAGTGGAGCGGGTCAAGAGTTTCAAGTTCCTTGGTGTCCACATCACCAACAAACTATCATGGTCCAAACACATCAAGAAAGTTGTGAAGAGGGCACGACAATGCCTTTTCCCCCTCGGGAGACTGAAAAGATTTGGCATGGGTCCCCAGATCCTCAAAAAGTTATACAGCTGCACCATTGAGAGCATCTTAACTGGTTGCATCACCGCTTGGTATGGCAACTGCTTGTCATCCGACCCCAAGGTGCTACAGGGGGTAGTGCATATGGCCCAGTACATCACTGGGGCCTAGCTCCCTGCCAACTAGGACCTCTATACCAGGCGGTGTCAGAGGAAGGACCTTAAAATTGTCAAAGACTCTTGCCACCCAAGTCAAATTGTTCTCTCTACTACCACACCGCAAGCGGTACCGATGCACCAAGTCTGGAACCAACAGGACCCTGAACAGCTTCTACCCCAAGCCATAAGACTGCTAAATTGTTAGTGAAATAGTTAACCAAATAGCTACCTGGACTATCTGCATTGACCATTTTTTCGATAACTTTGACTCATCACATACGCTGCTGCTACTGTTTTATCTGTCCGTTTTATTCCTAGTTATATCTACATATTTACCTCGTAACCCTGCACATGGACTCGGTACTGGTACCCCGTGTATATAGCAAAGTTATCGTTACTCATTGTGTATTTATTATTACGTGTTTTACTTATATTATTTATTTTATTTTTCTCTGCATTGTGGGAAGGGCCCGTAAGTAAGCATTTACGAAGCATGTGACGAATACAATTTGATTTTATTAGTAGACTGTCCACAAAGCTGCCCTCACCATGAGTTCTAGCAAATGTATCTACTCATGTACACGTTTTTGGTTCACACTTTCAACCGATAATAACCCCTCGCACCTGATATTCTATCTCCAGCGATGCGTCCTTCTTCATGGTCTGGAAGAAGCACTCCTTCCGTCCGGCGGGGAGTGTAAATGTGAAGTCGCTGTCCAGGCTCTGGGAGAACGCGGCCACCATGAACATCTCAGACACCAGCACCGAGAACAGGCACAATAACCCCAGGACCACGTCCATGGTCTCCCGCTGCCTTCACCACGCACGGTACAGGCGAGAAATAACTATAGATTTTGAAACCGTAAAAAGACGAGTGCTAGCTAACGCTCATCAACTTCACATCTGTTCCGTTGGACAGCTCACGGTTCGAGATGGCAATCGCAATGTGAGGACCTTGCCTTAAGAATGGACATAGTTTTCTCTCAAATAGTTGGAATATTATTGTATTTAATGGTGCTAAAATATATTTGGGACACATTCTAGCGTATTATGGGCCATTTTTAACAACAACAAATAAATTCATACAGGCAGTTCTCAGAAAGGCGCTTTTCTCCGTTGCATGCTGGGTAATGTAGTGTGTGTGTATAAGCACAACTGACGGCATCCAGAGAGGAAGAGAAGCGAGAGGGATAACGGCACAACATCTGTGTTCTCCAGCAGGGGACGTTATATATATATTTTTGCTCACCAAGCGAGGAGTTTTTAACCGCACTGCTAATTTGATGCCTAACCTTAAATTAAGATAAAAAAGCAAATGTTTGTTTTAATGAATTTTTATGATATAGACAATGTTGATTAGTGGAAACGGTTGTGCCTGTTCACACGTGTATCTGCCCACTCATTGGCAAGAATGGTCCCACCTGATCTTGCCTCCTCCATACTGCGTTCCATTTTTTAAGACGTTAAGAGTATCTGTTCAATATAATAGATAATCTGTGCATCCAACGCTGCTCCAGAAGCGCATTCGTCTTTACAACATCAGTACAGTCGCATTCCCTTGAAATAAACATTATATATGTTTCCTTGTGCTACACAGATATATTAGTTTATGGCAATATTAAGCAGGACGGATAGAAAACATGGGTGTAGGTATTTTTCTAGTGATGATGATGAGAGAAGAAGATTGCAATCTGATCAAGGATCTCTTGGTTTTAAAATTGTAGTAAGTGAACTGCACACCAGGCTTGCTAAAAATAAGGAAACTATTCAATAGGCCTCTATATAGGGTCATGTCATGACATGTAACATGTCAACTCAACTAGCTACTAGGCATTTTCTTCTGTAGGCTATGCCATCCCTTATCTGCTCCCCTTTGGAAGTTACTCTGCGATGTAATTCAAACCATCATTCATTACTCATCCTATTGCAAAACTATGTCATCCAAAAGATGCACAATCAGATGTAAATATTTCAGGATATTATATTTTATTATCGTATGGAGGAGACGCATTCCACGTTCCATGTTCCAGCTCCTTTCAAGCAGAGGAAATGGGTGGGACTGTGCCGTAGTACGTCACTATTTCTCGGTCGCTGCCTGACGCTATTGGCGGAGAAGAGGGGAGAACCGCAGCAGCGCTTACCGAAGGCGAGCAGCACAGCAACAGAAGCAACTAGCCCAGAAAAGAGGCGGCGAGGGGTCGACTGAATGAAAATTCAACTGGCTAGCTACATCGAGTATAGTTTTAGGAAAGTGCCACCCTCTCCCTAAATATGTATTATATTTTATAAGCAACAAACATTACAGTTTGATAATAGTTCATCTTCGTGTTTACTGTATAGCCACGAGAGGTTAGTACAATCCTAAAAGAGCGAGGATGTTAGTCCCCGCGGGAAGATAATGAAGCGGTTGCGCGTTTTGTTGGCGTGCCTCATCCTGTGGTGGTAAGCCCTTCTATCTTCATTCTTTTCATTGTGTGCTAGCAAAGTGAACTTGATATTGTCATGTTTACGCCGACTAAATGACACATTACTCGAAAGCAGAATTGGAAAGCTGATATTCTGACAATGTCCTTTCGTGGTGTGGGATGAATCGATTACTCCATCCTCCCATATGTAAAAAGCGAAGTTCGCCAGCGCAGACTAGCTGGGTTATTCCTAGTATACGACGGTGCCTTGTCTGCCCCCAGCAAATATCACCTCTTACTATTTAGTGTAAAATGTGTATTCCAAAGGGCTTTAAATATAAAGTTAGGCGTCCTTTACCATAAAACACAAAGATATGGATCTCAAAGGGAATGTTATACATTTTAGTTTTTAGTGGATGTAGGCATTTTTTACCATGTTCCAGGGTGCTAAACCATTAACCGAAATGTCAGTTCTTTTTCTGTTTTTAAACAACTAGCTAAATGACCGACGTTGGTTCAATTATTTGAATTCCATTTCGTTGTTTTTTTCTTTTCTTCAGTGAGCCTAATGTACACATCGCGCAGTTTATCTAGAGCAGGCGTTCCCAAACTTTTTTGGCCCAGTTACCCATTTTGATGTAACAAAAATGTTCGTAATCCCCCCCATGTAAAAAAAGGTGATGTAATCAACGGCCAATGTTTACTTTTTAAATTGGGTCAATGATAGTCTTACAAATCAGTCTGACAGTACTTTTGAAAGTATTTCATAGTGCTGAGTGATTAGTGTTTTTGTTTTTTCAGGTCAGTTCGGTTTAGGTTCGATTATAAAAAAAATGTCAGCGATTTCGGTTACTATTATTTGGGTTGAATGCTGTAGAAACACAGAATAAAACGATTAATAAAAGTCCCATGATGGTAGTGACTGCCCATTACTGCTTATCGCTTATTAACCATCATTTATTCACATTTTACTTCAATAAAATATTTCGGTTGTGTATATTACATTTGTTTTATTTGATGACTTTATTATTTCTTTCCAAGGCATCATCTCATCTCATCTCTATAGAGCTGCTGCCTATGCTGTCTGACACAATCACTATTTCGTAGTTCTTCAAAGTAAATAAGGCATACTTTTATGACTGCAGAATCAATCAGTTTGATTATGTATTTCCAGGTAGAGAGACTACCTGGAAACAGCTGCTCTCTAAGTCGCTCTGGATAAGAGCGTCTGCTAAATGACTAAAATGTAAATGTAAATATCCACTCATGATCATGCGGTCTTCCGGACAAGTAGATGCGCAATGGATTATGGTCATTGTAGTTAATTACAACGTTTTATTTGCTAAACTGTCAAATATTGGCCAATTGGAAACTACAACTCCCTACTACATCGCACAAACTGCAATGTGTACGTTGAGCTTACAGAAAAAACCGAAGGAAATAGAATTCAAATAATTGAACTGACCTCTGTCAATTAGTTGTTTAAAAAACGAAAAATAACCGACATTTCGGTTAATCGCTCAGGACTAGTATTTCAATCTGAAGGAAGTAGGGTTTGAAGTGACTGAAATCAGAATCAGAAAGGTATTGTGAAGTTCAGAAGATCATCAGGCAATACTTTTGAATGGTCTTCTGTGTAGAAAATAACATCACTAGCTTGGGGTCGCAACCCCTAGTTTGGAAAATGTTGCTCTAGAGATAAATCAGATCATGCCCAAACTGTGCGATATAGAAGGGAGTTGTAGTGTCCAACTGGCCAATGTTGTACTTACTTTAGCACAGAAAACGTGGTAATTAACTACAATGACCATAATTCATTGCTCACCAACTTGTCCAGTCTGTTTCTTTTACGCCTGTTATGTTAGGTTAGTGTGGGGCAGACGTGGGGAGAAGAGACAGAAGAATGCGCCATCGGGAGGCATAGAGCGCAGTTGCTTCGCGAGATATCTCTACCTGAAAATACATGATCTAGGCCTAAGTGATTGAAAGTTGGTATTCAGCAGTCATGAAAGTATTATTATTTACTTTGAAGAACTAGGCCTACTAAAATAGTGATTTTGTCAGACCGCATAGGCAGTAGCTCTATAGAGATGAGATGATGACTTGGAATGAGGTATTCAACCCTTTTGTTATGGCAAGCCTAAATAAGTTGGTTCAGGAGTAAAAATATGCTTAACAAGTCACATAAGTTGCATGGACTCACGCTGTGTGCAATAATAGTGTTTAACACAATTTTTGAATGCTTACCTCATCTCAGTACCCCACACATACAATTATCTCTTAAGGTTCCTCAGACAATCAGTGAATTTCAAACATGGATTCAACCACAAAGACCAGGGAGGCTTTCCAATGCCTCGCAAAGAAGTCACCTATTGGTAGATGGGTAAAAATAAAAAAAGCAGACATTGAATATCACTTTGAGCGTGGTAAAGTTATTAATTATACTTTGGATGGTGTATCAATACACCCAGTCACTACATAGATACAGGTATCCTTCCTAACTCAGTTGCCGGAGAGGACGGAAACCGCTCAGGGATTTCACCATGAGGCCAATGGTGACTTTAAAACAGTTAAAGAGTAAAAAACTAAAAAAAACTGAGGATGGATAAACAACATTGTAGTTACACCACAATACTAACCTAATTGACAGAGTGAAAAGAAGGAAGCCTGTACAGATTTTTTTTTCTTCCAAAACATGCACCCTGTTTGCAACAAAGTACCAAATTAATACTGCAAAAAATGTGGCGAAGCAATTCATTTTTTTTTGTCCTGAATATAAAGTGTTATGTTTGGGGCAAATACAACACATTACTGAGTACCACTCTCCATATTGTCAAGCATAGTGGTGGCAGCAGCATGTTATGCTTCTAATTGTTAAGGACTCTGGAGTTTTTCAGGATAAAAAAGAAACAGAATGGAGCTAAGCACAGGCAAAATCCTAGAGGAAAACCTGGTTGAGTCTGTTTTCCACCAGACACTGGGAGATGAATTCACCTTTCAGAAGGACAATAACCCAAAACACAAGACCAAATCTACAATGGAGTTGCTTACCAAGAAGACGGTGAATATGTTATGGGTGACCGATTTACAAATGAATGGCAAGACTTTAAATTGTTGTCTAGCAATGATCAACAACCAATTTGACAGCACTTAAAGAATTTTGAAAGGAATATTGGGAAAATGTTGCACAATCCAGGTGTGGAAAGCTTTTACAGACTTAACCAGAAAGACTCACAGCTGTAATCGCTGCCAACGGTGCTTCTACAAAGTATTGACTCGGGGGTGTGAATACTTATGTAAATAAGATATTTCTGTATTTAATTGTCTAAAATTAGCTAAAACATCTAAAAACAATTACAGTTATGAGTCAAAGTATTTTTTTTACCTATCTACCGATAGGTGCCCTTTGTGTGGCATTGGAAAACCTCCCTGGTCTTTGTGGTTTAATCTGTGTTTGAAATTCACTGCTCGACTGAGGGACCTTACAAATAATTGTATGTTTGTGGTACAGAGATGAGGTAGCCATAAAATCATGTTAAACACGATTATTGCACACAGAGTGAGTC